ACTTCATCCCTATATGAAGGCACTTAGCTCGACGTGATAGTCTCATTAGCCCCCTCGCTCTTCTTCTCGGGAGTGGCAGTTCCAGGGCTGGTCTTCTCATTAACCTCCTCCTCGCCCTGCGTGGAGATGTGGCGCGTCGGCTTCTTGCCCGATACCATCGACTTGACGGTGTGGATGAGTGTCGCGCGGCCCTCGAAGATGGGGAACAGGCCGACGGCGAAGAAGGAGCAGAAGATCCAGAGGATGCCGACTACGACCCAGCCCGTGAAGAAGGGCTTGCTGAAGATGTAGCCGGAGCCATACATGGGCATCGGCCAGAGCACGAGCATCGCGATGGTCCTGTGTACATTGTCAGTGTGGGTCCTTAAACATGAAATGGTGACGAAAAACTCACATGAAGGCGGTCATGGAGACGGAAATCTTAAAGGCACGCGTGAGCATGGCCTGCTCCCGCTCGAACTCAGCTTGCGTCTCCTCGCGCCCGCCGTGTACATCCTCCTCGAGATCCATGCCCGCGTCCGTGGCAACGTCGTGGTCATCGCCCCGGCGGATCGCCATCATCGACTTCCAGTCATACTTATCCAGGCCGAAGATGAGAGTGAAGATCGGGATGAGCACAAGCGGCGACAGCAGCGCAATGACATTACCAGCCAGCATGGGGTTGTTCGAGCCCGTGCAGGTGACATCCAGCACGCCGCATGTCTTCTTCGCCGTGACAAGCCATCCAATGATCGCAAAGGCGGTGCCGAAGATGGGCGAGAGCGTCGCGGCCCATTTGTTCTGGCCCTTCCACACCAGCGTCAGCGTCGCCGGAAGCACGGCGGCGGAGATGAGCACGCCCATGAGCACGTAAAGGTAGCCCATCGAGATGCCGTTGTAGTGCAGGCCCACCGACACAGAGCTGATGATGAGCGCGTAGATGACGACGCACACGTGCGACATGTAGATGAGGCGCTTGCCGCTGGCGTCGGGCTTGAAGTACGTGCGGTAGATGTCGTAGGTGAAGATGGACGACACGGCGATGAGCTCGGCGGAGCTGGCGGAGGTGACGGCCATGAATACCATCAGCAGCGTCGCGGCGGCGCCACCCTTGCCGAGGAGGGCGACGGCGGCGTACGGCAGCGCGAGGCCGGCGGAGACCTCGGCCTCGGTCATGCGGTCGGGGAAGGTGGGGAAGCGGGGGTTCGACTCGAGGGCGAGCGCAGAGAGGCCCATGGTCGTGGCGGTGAGCCAGGGGATGGCGAACCAGGAGAGGCCGCCGAGGATGTAGCCGGGGAGGGCGTGCACGGGGGAGGCGGCGATAGCCTTGTTGTAGTATCCGTTATCGAGGAAGACGGTACCGAAGTTGCCCACGATGTTGATGACGAAGAACTCGACGCCGCCCTGGGACTTCATTGTCAGGTAAGATCCATCGGCGTTGCCTGAGACGGGGTGTCTGAGGGCGGCCTCGACGAGGAGATCGTAGACCTTGGAGGGGCTACCAAGGACGTCTGAGCTGGCGTAAGCTGTCAAGGAGAAGATGATGATGATGATCAGGAGGATGAAGGTGTGGACCCAGTCAGTGAGAAAAGTTGCCTTGAGACCTCCGACAATGGTGTAGGCGACGACACCGACGGGCAGGAGGTAGATCGCAGCAACAGTGTGCCTGTAAAGGTCAGTCAGCCTCAGGATTCCTCTCCAATCGATATCAGAGGGGGACAAAGACTTACATGCCAGTCAAGGCATTGACTGTCGCTGCACCTCCGACGATCAACATCAAGGTGACGAGAATGTTCGTCATCAGACCAAACACAATGAACACAACGTGCGTCGCCGTGCCGTATCTCGCCTTGATGACCTCCAGGAACGTGTGTGCGTTGGGTGCTCTGCGCTTCAACTCGATCGCGAGCGTGGCAAAGAGCAAGATCTGAACTGTCGCGCCGGAAGCATACCAGAACGGACCGGAAACGCCATATCGGTAGCAGACACCGGATGATTGAAGAAGCGTCGCGGCCCATGTCCACGACGAGACGACCGCGGAACCGACAAGGCCAGACTTGACCGTCCTACCTGCGGTGGTGAACATCTCAGAGGTCTGGAGCTCTCTGTTGTAGCGTTTGAGGACATAGGTCGTGGCAATCTGTGCCCGATTAGCATGTGAACAGGGCCAGAATTGGCATATCGGGGAGGGATACCATGCCAATGGCGAAGAGAAAGCCCACGCCGAGCACGATGCCGTACCCGACGCCCTGCGAGAGAGCTGCTGTCACCATCTTGGGCAGTTCGCGATGCGCCGATGGAATGGTATGGTGTAGTTCAGGCAAGTAGATGCACCCTTGACAACGGAGTACCGGGAGTTTGGGCCTGGGCTACTCGACGTATATGTATGCGCCCTCCAGCTGGCCGGCGGCAACCTCAATCATGTTGCTTTATCGGAGCTTAAACTACCGGAGCTACCCTTGCTTGCTTCCATGTGCAAGTTGAGACACAAGCACCGCGTCCCCCACAGGCGGTAACGGCTCGGTTTCTCCCCGCTGTAAGACAGTCTGGGGGTCGAGGTTGGTGGTGGTGGTGGAGGGTCGAGCACAATCATCCTTTCTTCCTCTTTAAACTTATCATGGTTAGACCGGACCACTGAAGCTACCTCAGAACTTGAGACGGCAAAGTCTGTGTTGGATAAAACTTGACAGGTGCGTCGCCGCAGCATGCAGAGAAGAGATAAGGCCAAAATTCAATCAGTCATAGAAAATGGTGCAGTCTAGTTGCAGATGCCGGGCCAGTGATTGGCGGTGGGAGGTGAGAAACAAGAGGGATCTGCAGCCACTCGGGTACTAGAGGCATGCTTGTTTGGGTAGTATCTGCGTCGACGGGATTGTGATACGGTAAGATGATATCTCTCCCACAGCACTATCAGAGGCAGAGGGCCCTTGACAGCTGCAAATCGCTGACGTCTCAAGGTGACGAGATGTAGCTTCATGTGATGTGGACGGAAGGCCACATGGAAATGAGTCTCTTAATTCTTGCGAGAGCCACAGGGACTTCCCTGAGAAACTTGAAGAACACGAAAACGTGAAGACTGGGGATGAGAGGATGGACTCTTCTGGCTAGACTGGGTGCTGACAGCATGGGGTTCGTCAGAAGGAATCCTCCCCGTCTCAGCAAACGAAGAGATCCATCTGATAGAGAAAATGAACATGTTCCACTAGGAACAAATCCACAGTCACCCGTCCACCCGTTCGGCATGACATCCATGACGGCCCAAACCCTAGGATCGAACGGCGAAGAGGCGGAACAGGAGGTTGCTGGGAGCGGCCGGCGGCCAGAGAAAAGCTGCAGATAAGACCGCGAGTGCCTTTGTCCCTATCGTCTTGCGATTGAGTCAGTCGATTGGACAGATCGGGGTCCGTTACTGATTGATTGCATCAGAGTTCAAATCGAGGTTGCAAATCGCGCGCTGTTATCGCTGGTGGTTGACAGGGAGAAAGATAAGCATTCGCGATGCGTGTGGATGGCGTGGAGAGACGGAACCCCGGCAAGGCGCACGGGCCATGCTCAATCTACATCTCCGCCGCGTCGAATGAGCTTAGCTTGTGCGGGCACTTCTTACCCGCATCTCATTTTCATCCCTTCAGCAGTTTGGGGGCGCTTGTCGGCATGAGCTCCGGCATAAGATCTCGAGTCACGGAACAATCTGGACTTACTTTTTCAATGCTGTCAGCATATGATATTAGAGCCAACATGCCATAGGCTTCTTCGGTTTGACTACGTGCGCCTGCAAAGATGTCATGGAAAGTTCTACGTTGAAAACTGTCCTCGGCAGTGGTCAGGTCAAGCTTTTGCGAAGACTTTGTCCAAGAAAACCAAGACGAACACCGCCCCGCCGTGGGGATTCGCTTCATTAGTTTGCGAACATGCCTAGATACCGTCTGTCCATCAACTATAACCACGGAGAAAATGAGAAGTGAAGGCCTATCTCACTTGTACTCAGCCGCTGCAGCGCACCTAGACTGGAAGACTGAACCATAATGGTACTCTTCTGCGCAATTGATCATCTCAATTGGGCAAGTGTAAGCTTTGTTTCTTCTCCCACGCGGGGCTTGTGACTTCCTCACGCCAAGCATACTAGACGGCACTTGCATGGCCCAACGCCCTATCAGAAGCATACTCACGACTTTGAGTGAGAGGCTTTCAAGGGGCTCATATGCGAGCTTGGTTGAAGCATCATATTAACGATACCTTGACTCGTCTCAGCAAATAATTGTTAGTTATCACGACTCCGGAAGATACTCCGAATCTTGAGATCCCTGCGCTGGTGAATGGCATGCCGTTGTACGTTACCTCTCACTTGTCCCGGCCGGGCGGATCAATACCTCCATGCGGGACGGACTTGTGCCGCCGGCCTGTAGCCAGATGCGATGACCTGCATGCTCGTGGCCGCGGCCAGGCCTTCGGCTCCACGCCTCAACTGTCAGGATCGACGTGATCCAGATCTTGCGGGCGCAGGCATGCTTCCTGGTGCTCCATATCAGAGTTCCCTTTACCCAGGCTCCCACTTGGATGTGACTCTGCTCCAGATGCGGTCGCCGACGGCCAGCAGACTCGTTAACGGGCCGGAGACTGGAGCCGACTATTACAGCGAGACCAATCATCGAAAGCTTTCAGGCACGCGCACGCGACTCAGTCGAGGCACGCATGCGTTCATTTGTTCTGGAGGGCCTCAACAAGTAGCTTCATCAGGGGTTTCACTACAAAGATCCAAGTGACTCACTACATGTTCGATCCAAGAAGCTGTTTCATCAGTTTAGCTGGCAAGCTGTATTCCCTTCATATGAGGCGGTGAAATATGGGTATTCTTGTAGCTGATGATGGCTCTCACTGCAACAGGACATTTCTCTGTTGATCTCAAACAAATCTTCATCTATTTCAACATGACTTCACTCATTTTCCATCATAACCTCAGACGACACGATAGGCGCTGCTCGTGAATCAGTATCTGATGAGAACAACGCAAGGCGTAGAACTCACTCAATGATAAATTCGCCTTTACTCCATGCTCCACTTGCAACCCAAAGCCCGGCGCCCAACGTTTCGGCATACCTCTCGTCCCCCGTCGTCACATGAATTGACATGCGGCAGGAGTACTGTCTTGAATCCACATCTTTCTCGGGAGATTTCTGGAGAGAGTTCAAAACATCTGCTGGTCCGCTCAAGGATCCGCTGATTCGCAACTCGAACCTGTGATCATGAAATACTCGTCAGCCCTTGTTCTCCCGGCATCTTCATTAGATAGGCAGCAACATGTCGTCAAACTCACTCTGCGGGCTTCACATCATTGGTCCAGAGTTTCAAAAGCCCTCCGACCTTACTTACCCCGGGTGCTCCATTTGGGGCCTCGTCAATGTAGTACCCTCCCGCCACAACGAATCCTGATCCAAAGGACCCCGACCATGAGCCACTGGAGACTCTGAATAGCTCTACCTCCTTCGCATTATCTGGGACTGCAGTGTGAACGCTAACATTGGCTAACTGTACGGCTACGCGGAAACCAAATTCAACAGAAGGCGGCGGTATGGACATGGTCGGATGTGGAAAGTCTATCGAGGGCTTTGCCGCATCGTTCTTATCAACTTCGGAATCTCTGAAAGTCGCCTCAGTTAATCCAAGCTCACAAAAACTCCTCATTGTTCATTCACATACCCTTTATCGTTGACAGCAAACTCTGGCGCTCGTTCTTGTCGTTCTTGAGAGGGAGCCTCTTCGGTCTTCAACCTCTTCTCCTCAGAGTCACCCCATCCCCCATGGTGTCTCGCCAAGTTCCTCTCCGGAATGCGATTGAAGCCCCGGCCGGGGTGATCAGGGATCCACGCCGGATCCCACGCCAGGTCCTCTGGCTTCAGCTTCGGGGTCGCGGTAGGTCCCGAAGGACCCTGACTGCCTTTCCAAACACCGTGAGAGTAATTGGACTGCCGGCCCTCCTCGCGGCTTATGTCGCTCATCGGCACTCGAATTTCAGATCCTTGGCGAACGGCCAGTGGGATGACGAATCAGAGAAACAAAACCAGGGGACCGCCGATGGGGACGCTGCGCAAGAAATCTGGGAGCGATAACCACACTAAACGAGCGAATTCATGGCCAAAACCGCAGCTGAGAAACGGAGGGATATATAAGGGAACATTTGAATGGTGGTTGGAAATGCCCCTGGGCGCTGAAATACATTTCCCTTTTTGGTCTTCTCGTCAGACGAACCCCGCATAGGCGCCGGCCCGCAAGCGGCACGGAGGGATGCAACCCCAGCATCGGCGCTGTCGGAGGGACTATCACTCCGCCCGCCGCGAATCACGGCCCGATGATGGCGCCACAACCGGCGGTTGGCGCCAGACTTTGCCCATAGAACCCCCGTAGGAATAAGGATAACCCGTGGAATATGCGCTGTTGTCAAGACTCCATGGTCGGATTAGCAAGCGAGAGTAGGGACTTATGCCAAGATACACACATCAAACTAACTTAATACGAGAGAATTGCCCCCTTGCTGTCCCTGCTGCCCTCATGATTTGCATTCTTGATGTTCTATTTCCCCAAAACGGCATGATTTCATGATTGTCACATCAAACAATTCTCCAGGAAATACACGACCCTATTTCCTACTTGCAAGCGGTAAAAAACAAAATTCGTTTGGTCTGTGGTTAAGTAAAACCTCAACTCTTCCTCCAAAACTCCCTTCCGAACTCTCTTTGGAATTGGATTTTGCTATCTTCTACTTCATCTATTTAGTCATGACTAGGAGATATTTCAATCCTGTGCATAATAGATTTGCAGTGCCTCTCGAACTGTGAGAGTTGTCATTTCTGGGAAGAGGGTGTTGACCCGGCCCTCCGTCGGCAAATCCATCTTACCTTGCGCAACTCTCTTTCCAGAAAGCGCGACCTGCCGCATGACGGTTCTTCTGTACGCAGATGGAATCTTTTTCTCCCACGCCGGAAGCGGGGTACAATTACCCTCTCGCAATACATCGAGCTCATCATACTTCTTTTCAAACTTCACGCCGCTTGTTTCTTCGGCGACGTCGATGAAGCCGTTGACAGTCAACTTGTCTCCTGCTAGATAGTACCTGCGCTCCCAACGAGGTAGACCCAGCACTGCTGCGACGAAGCACCCGATATCGCGCGAGTGAGTCAACACAATGGGGTTGTTCCCGTCACCAGGGATGGCTGCAACGTGGTTGTCAAGGTCGACCCAGCATGGGAGATTGAGTCGGAACGCAGACTCGATGCGTGGCGCGAGCCAGTAGTCCATGAACATTCCGTTCGAGAATTGGGTGTATTCAAGATCGGTCTCCTTCAGACGGTCAACTGCCTTGAATTTCCACTCGTAAGTAGGGATGTCACGGATGAACCTAGAAGACACATTAAATTGATGAGAAAGTAGGGCAAGGGACAGAACATACTCGTCGTCGTATTTGGCTCCAAACTCGCTCGGCATGAACCGTTTGGTGTGTTGGCACGCAACAGCGGCCTCGATGAGGTTCATTTGAGCCATTCCACTGGCATCATCAGCGATGGAAACGGTCGAGATAACCGTGTGAACCTTATGTGTGTCGAGAACCTCTGTGAGACTTTGGATGCTCGTGTAGTCGACAACGACTACCTTGGAGTCGCCGGTTGCCTTCCGACCCAAAATTATGGCATCGTCGGCTCCGAGTTTCTCAATGGCATCGAATATAGCTTTGCCGATGCTGCTTGAGCCACCAGCAATAGCTACTTTGACCATTGCAAAGACAGTGGCGGGTCCGAAGTTCAGGGTTGTTTTGTTGAGGTAGAGCGTTAATGAACATGTGCGGGACAAGGATGGAAAAGAAACGCTCAATTGATGGAGTTATTTACTTCATGGCTTTCGGTGTATGCCAATTGGTAAGTTTAAGTAATTGACGAGCTCTATAAGTCAAAGCGTCAAGTCCGCTCTTCGTGTTCAAGTGTAACTTCTGATGGCGCCACTGGCTGCAAACTCCGCACCCCAAAGCGGGTTCACCCCAAGTATCACAGGGAGGGCGGAGGGCGGAGTTGGCGGGTTTCCGCGCGAAGATCAGACGTACCAATGACACAAGCCATACTGAGGCGTGTATGGATATCTCGGGGTCCTAGAAAGATCGCGAAGTCCAGTTCGGAAATGTAGTGGGACAATGTATTCAAGGACTTTTACTATCCGGGCAGATATTTTAGCTAATTAACTGGTCCAATATGACCTATATGCTATTGAAACTCATTTCCCATCGTCTTCTATTTTATGATGTTGACTGGACTCCATATTATTATTAGTAGTACTGTCATCGTCATTGTCGTCGTCTTAATTAGTCGTTCTCGTTCTCGTTATCGTCGTCGTCATCGGTGGTGTCACTAGGATCCCGTACGAATGGCACAACTAATAGATTGATGGTGCGACAATGAGTAACCTGACACTACTAATTATGACTGCAGCTCGAAAACAGCAACTTGCAATAGAACATAGTCTACGTAGCGGATCCTGTTCATGATCTAGAGTTTCGAGCCGAAGAGACTGGCCTCAAATTTGAACTTCCCGACCTTCTTAGGGCTGGGGTCGCCAACTCCCAAAGTAAGGCAACTAATTTCGATTGCTACATGGATTGCCTTTGCCAGCTGTTCTCTGACAGTTGAAAGATATCCCAATACTTTCGAATTTCGTCGGAGTTATTGCTACAGTTTTTGGAATACAATCTGGCAGGGCAGGTATGCATCGCATGTATGGAGGAATAGAGTGTGACTCAGAAAACGAGAAGGATGCTGGTCGGGTGGCCACTTGGAGGAATAAAGGAACCGGCGTGTTTGTAGCTTACTAGGTACTCTTGCGCTGACGGTGCTGCTGTCTATGTAAAAGTACAAATGCAGGTCGCGGCCTGAATCATCTCTATATCTTCTCTAGATATATATCTTGAAATACCCTGCACTAGGTTCAAGAGGTAGTGACATGTTCTTCTTGGGGCCCTTCATAGCCCGTACTTCTTCGTCTTTACCTGAGCTGAAAATTGGAAAACCTCTCTTTTCTCCGAGAAAGAATACATAAGTTTGCTATGTAAAGAGAACTGGAATACTGGTTTGCGCCCTCTAACAGAATGTGAATTGTCCATGCCCCAGGATTCATCAGGAGCCACAGGTCTGTAATCTGGATGCAGTTCAGTTATATGAAATCTGACGTGAGGGATGTGTATATAATGCTTGTAACCTCAAGCGTTCCTTTCTTCCAGCTGCAGTGAGATGCCGGAGGGCATATTTATGCTTGCTGATGAACCGGCATGAATTATGAATCAGACATGACAACCATGTGATAACACGTCATCAGATCCATACTCATGGTTCCAATACGCAGTCCGAGGCTGCATTCCTGTCTTATTCTACGAGGATACGGGAGCGATACTGGTGCTTAGAAATGACATGCGGATAACCTTAAAAGCCACCGCCATTATTCTTCAAGCATCAAACCATACGCGCCTTTGAATGCCTTCTACATCCACGTTCAGTCATCTAACATCAGAAGAAGTGAATGAAGCTTGCAATTTGTGGCTCAGGAACGAAGCTGGAAGCTGCAGACACACCAAGCGAGCGCTTACATATATGTACTCACTTTCCGCTTATCAGGAAAGATGACAGCACCGAGATATCCTGCGCACGTTTTGAATAATTAAGACTAAAGATCGTATAACAAAACTCATCCAGTAACCCATAACCACGGTCCAGAGAAACATGAATCTATATAAACCTTAACGTCCCCTCCTATCAGACCTCTAGACCAATCGACTTGGGCGCGTTGTCGTCAATCTCAAAAACCTTGACAACACATCTGTTTAGAGCAAGTTGGACTTAATCGAGGCTATGACTTATGCTTAAGCGTAATACTTGACGGAGCATACCTCGGACAGCGTTGGTCGTCGTCTGCCTCGATATCTTATCCAACATGAATAGGCCGGCAGAATACACTTGCGATCTCTCCAAAACCTGCAGAAATAGGGCCTGCAGCAATATAAGAACTACGAAGATGAAATGAGACTGCGCGTGATTTTCCTGCTGCTGCGAGTTCATTGTGATCTCCCAAACAATCTCTGTCGCGGTCTCTCCCGCGCGCCATCACCCTCTATCCCAAATCCCCTTATCCACACCTCAAAGAACCATGATTCGCGAATGTCGATTGGGGCTTGCTGTGGGAGCTTCTAGATCATGCTCGAACAGCCTCGTTCTTATCACTTCCTTCGGAAGCATGGTCGTCAGGGGTATGAACAACACCAAACGTATACCATTGTCATAATCGGGGTATCTATTCTACAGCGACTGACTGACTGACTGCTGACATGCTAGATGGAAATAAAGCCGTCCACCCCAACTCAACCGCCGCCAATCTATCGCTTCTTTTCTCTTTATGTTAATTTTGGCCCTCATCCACCCCTTGGCAAGATTTTTCCCTTGCCGTCCTCAGCTTGCCGTCCTCACATCTTCGCCAAAATATGGTACACACGTCTCATTCAAAAACTAAATCCGCCCCAGGAGAAGAGGGAGTGGTAGGTCAAAGTCTGACCCTTTCCCATGCTAAAAAGGGGTAGCCTCGTAAAATGGGGCTTTGTGGTGTGGTAGTGTCTCGTCTCAAAAGGAGCTTCAGGAGCCGTTCGCAGGTTGCTTGCGGTTCATCAGACCGCTAAAGAACGCCTCCAGCTTGTCGTTGTCCATGTCGTCGGGGTTCTCGTTCGCGGTGTCGGCCGGCGGCGTGGTCGGTTCCTGTGCGGAGCTGTATGCCTGACGGTCCTGCGTCTCTGTTAGTCTCCGCCCCTAATACTCGTCAAAAACCAGCTAGTGCTCACCTTAAGCCGCTGCACCATGTCGTCGGCATCCACCTGGATGCCTCCCATGTTGAACTGCACAGGTCCGATGTGCTGGCTGACCTTGCCGTCGCCCTGGCGCAACGTGGCGCCGAGGTCCGGCTCGTCCGCGCGCTGCTGGCCCGTTCTTGACTTGTTTGCGTCCGCCTTCTTGTCCTCGGCGCTCCTGCTGCGGTACTGCTCCAGCGTCTGCAGACTGGAACCCAGAAACTCCTGCGTGTCTGTCGACGACATTTCCAGCTGCGAGGGGTCGGCGTCGCGGCCCGCGAAGGAGATGGCGCTGCCTGCGCTGCTGAGATCGCGGATCCAGTCTTCGTAGGGAGCGACGGCGGATGACCACACCTCGCCGTTGTAGTCGCCTTCCGCCTTGGCCTTGGTTATGATTTCGAGGCCCTCGGTGGTCATGGGTGGGGAGGGGAAGGTGGATTGCAGGTCGTGCGACCAGCCTTGGCTCGTGGTCTCGACGTCGAAGCCATCGCGCAGGACGCGAATCTTGCCCCAGGAGTCCCAGTTCGGGGGCACGAGGATCTTATCCCTGTCGATCACGTTGTGCTTGAGCGGCTGGCGTTTTAGGAGAGAGGTGATGCCTAGGCTGGAGTGTACGAGGCTCGATATCGAAGAGGGGACGTTCGGAGTGGTGTAGATGAGGGATGCGCCGTCTGCAGAAGGTTAGCTTGATGCCTGGCAAAATTGGAGGGCGAACGTACGTCTTAGTAAAGCTGTTCGGAGGTATTGAAGGACTTGATCAAAGTCTCCCTCCTTCCAACCTTGTGTCTTTTCCAGCTGCTCCATCTTTTCTGCCTGGAACTTGTTAGCTTCTGAGTCGTCTCTCTGCTTCCAAAAGACTCACATTTTGGCAGACTACACACAGCGGCAGTCCGATACCCTCCTCCCACTCGCCAGGGCCGAGGGGCAACGCGACGTCGCCTTCGCTGGTCGTCGCCCCTGTGCCATCGAGATTGGTCGAGCCGCCGCCTCTGCCCCTGTCCCTCCAGCTGACCATAAGCTCCTCCATTGCCGCTTGGCACTCGTGGCTCGAGTTCTCAAGAATGCTTCGCATAAACAGGATCCATTCCCTTAGTTGCCGCATCCACATGTGTGGTGTAGACCAGTCCAGGAGAACGACCATTAGGGTATTCGGTATCGTCTCGGGGGTGATTAGCGGCTGGATGAGTTTCGGGAAAGCTTCTGACGGCGTCGACAGCATGTAGAGGGAGATTCTCGCCAGGATGTCTGTGCAAACAAGTCAGCGGTCAGAGCTAACCGGCCCAAAATGGGTTCTATTTAACGCACCTTCTTGGTCGGCATCCAGAACGTCGTAGTAAGTGTAACCCAGAGCGAAGCTGTTTGCGACAGGCGGTGTCTTGGAGCTCTGGCGGTCCAGGGTCCGCTTCTCGCTGCTGTGCGACAGCGACTCGATAAACTCCCGCTGCGAGTCGGGCGTGCCGCCGAGCACGATCATGTTCTTCTCCGGTAACCGCTTGCCGCTGGCGACGTTGTCGAGCATGGAGCTCCAGAGGTCCTTCTTCTCGCCATTGCGCCCGTCGGACCCCGCCGAGGCCGAGGTGTACGTCGACACCCTGTTTGCACTTGCCGTCATGATTGTGTTGATCCGCGAGGACGCATGAGGGGAAGCGATTGGCGGTGGTAGTGGATGCCTCGGTTGTTGCTGCGAGCGGTGGTGTTGTCGTGGTGTTTTGTGGTCCTCGGGGGGAGGAGGTGGGTTTGGCAGTTGACAGCTTTATGCAATGGACAAACAAAACGCGTCGTCCGTCGTTCGGGATCGCGACTCAGGGGAGGATGGTGAGCTGGCCTGGGATCACGGGACTCTTGGAGGCGGACGGATACGTAATTGTAGGAAAGAAAAGATCGGAAAGGCGAGCAATCACAGCAATATTATCACTAAAGAGGCTGCAGGTCTGCCTCGAGCAGCTGGGCTGGTATCTTCAACGGCCAGACCAGCCAGTTAGTTCATGCCCCCTTCATCAAAGTGTCGGGGAATTTGGCAGCGCCGGACCGGCTGTTTTCCCGAAGCCTAAATACGCTGTCATGGCACGGCACAGTGCGCTACCGAAGTGCCAATTTAGGGGTGTCTTTGGCGGGCGTTGGGGGAAATGACGCACTGACGCTGCTACGCGAGCCACCTTGTCGGCCCGCGGTGTGGTGTGGTCGTGCGGGTGGAGCTTGCAGCTGCAGCGAGCTCTGGACGTCGCTTCCTTCAGCCTTGCAGTTGAAGCTCGTTGCGCCAGCCTTCCTTTTGCAGGCATACATCAACATCTCGCAAGCAGGGAGCGTAAGCCCTCGGCTCAGCTGCCAAGATGAACAAGATCCGCGCGATCCAGGAGCTCAACAAGAAGGAGATTGAGCATGGAATGCAAGTTTTCACCACCGCACCTGCGCCAACTCCTTTCTGTCCGTCAGCTAACAGTAGAGCAGCTCCCCCGAGGGTTCCTGGCACGTCGACTACCGCGACACGGCGTACATCTACTTCGGCGGCCTCCCCTACGAAATGTCTGAGGGCGACGTGATCACCATCTTCTCCCAGTTCGGCGAGCCCGTCTGGCTCAAGCTGGCGCGCGACAAGGAGACGGGCAAGTCCAAGGGCTTCGGCTGGCTTAAGTACGAGGACCAGCGCAGCACCGACCTGGCCGTCGACAACCTCGGTGGTGCGACGATCGGCACCCGCATGATCAGCGTTGACCACGCGCGGTACAAATTCCGCGACGACGAGGACCCGGACGAGGGCAAGGTGGACTGGGAGACGGTCGCGAAGCTGGAGGGCGGCGGCGGGGGCGACAAGACGGACGAGGGCTCTGAGGACGAAGAGGAGGAGGAGAGGCCGCAGCTTCCCGAGGAGAGGGAGCTCGCGCTTCTGATTAGAGACCATGATGATGACGACCCGATGAAGGAGTTCTTGATCGAGGAGAAGAAGAAGGAGATCCAGGAAGCGTTGGCAAGGAGAGGGGATAAGTCGGAGAGGAAACACAGGCATCGTCACAGGTCGCATCGGTCACATCGGTCGCGAAGGCACGACAGCGATGAGGAGATGAGGGATGCGGATCGAGATGAGGACAGACACCGGTCTCGGAGGTCGCGTCGCGACGAGACGCCGGACGATAGGGACAGGAGGGACGGAGAGAAGAGCTCTCGTCGGGAGAGGCGCCGGGGTGACTCTCGAGAGCGAGAGTCTAGGAAAGACGACAGGAAAGACGATAGGAGTCGGAGAGATAGGAATCGTTCAAAGGACCGGCGGGATCGGGACCGCGGCGGGGACGAAGATCCCAGACGGGAGCGGCGGCGCCGTCCCCGGGATGAGTCCGAGGAACGCTCCCATAGAAAGCCAAGGGATCGCGACGAGGAGCCACGGCACAAACGGAGAAGCAGGAGCAGATCACCGCAGGCTCGACGATGATATGAACTCTCGCCAATAAAGCGCTACTTCGCTGATACCCCATGGCCTAATTTCTAGCACAAAAAAAGCGATGCTATCGCTGATACCCCTTGATGCCTACAACCATGATGACAACCATGATGACAACCAGTAAACGCCGTGCCGTGGCCGCGAACCAAGATTTCCCAAAACATTTCCCAAACGCCTTGCGATCAGGGGTGTCTAGCCACTACCCAAATATCTCTTCCAGCCTTCCCGTGTAAGATAACGACGTCCGTCCTCGCCCTTGGTGATAATGAACTTTTCCCACCTCGCATCTTGGCCCGCGCCAATGATCACCAGACTTTCCTCGTTAATCCAGCCGATGAGTCCCTTTTGCGGTCGTGTTGTGCCAAGAGGAGTCTGCTCTGAGAGGGGGAGGCTGCCCATGAACGGGTCATCGCCGGCTTCGAATGGTGCGGATGCGAATGAGTAGACGTCTGAAAACATTCTGGGCATCAAGGGGATCTTGCCCAGAAACCCCCATCGGCCCTTGCCATCATCGCCTGGTCTGCCAGCGAGAATGCCAGACCCAGCCATTGATGCTGACGGACTCGTTGGAACAACGACACCCCTCTTTGGATGGGGGACGTCGAACACATGCAACGTAGACTTGTCTGACGTGCAAGCCACCTTGGTGCCCTCCGGACTAAATCCCAGAGAAAAGATGGTTGCAGGATCCACGCCTCGTCTCAGCTCAGCCACCTTCGCGCAGTTGCTCGTCGCGAAGACTCGGATCAGCGTACCCTGCTCGCTCGCCGTAGCCAGCGATTCGCCGTCTGGGCTCAGTTGGATGGCTCTGAGTGCTGAGGAGTGCGCGGGGATGATGCTGACGTTGCCAGTGCCAATATCCACGAGTTGGACCTGACCAACTGTTCTACCTGGGAACGCAATAGTCTTTTCTGAGAGGCAGCAGAGACCAAAAGGGTTGTTTGTGGTCTCATACACGGCCTGGAGATCGGGCGGTTTCGCAAACGAGTATACGCGAACGCTGTTTTGAAGCGCAACGACGATGCGGTTGCGGCCAATACGAACGCCTCTTACAGGTGTTAACGAGGAGATTTCCATGGCCACCTTTGATTTGAGACCATCCCAGATGATTGCCTGTCGTGTTTAGTACTCGATCTTGACAGAGCGAGGAGGAGCACGCACTTTACTTGAACTGAACTTTGGCTGTCTTCCGCCGCCAACAAGTGCGAGATAATTTGTAGTGCCCATCATCTCAACGAGGCCGATGCCCCCATTAAAATCTGTCAAAAAAGTCTCAGTCTTGCTCATAAGTCTCAATGCCACGGGCGCAGACCTTTAGAGGCCTTAAGAAGACATGATTTCGTGTGAAAGACTGGGCGATGTTAGAGACGGCTCCTCCGGAGGCAGCGAGCAAACAAACGTACTGCATATGCCTGTGTTAAGGCCGACGGAGAAGCAGCTCGCGTCGTTATTGAATGAAACCGACAGAACAACCGTGGACGGCGCTGTCTCGATAGGCGGCCGGGTATTCATCGTCGGCGAAGGGAGATGACGATGGGCCCTCTAAGCCGGTGTAGCAAAGCGATGCCGTGGCCTGTGTGACGACGCTGAGGGGCGCGGTTGTAAGGGATGGGAATGCAGATGCAGATGTAAAGGCTGGGCGACCGAGCCAGTATTGTGCTATTCTTCGAAGCTATTCGCTATGATATCATTCTTGAAAGATGTTTCCCACGACGTGAGAGGCCACTGTAAGCTGTTTGACGATGAGCTGGAGTCTCTTGAACGATGGCCTTGTCGTTGCTTGAGCGGGTCGCGGTCAGCTGGACAGCCGAGTCAGGAAGCTGTGAGTGCCAACAGGGGCTGTTGATAGGTGGACGTGCTGGCTGCAGTGGACAGCGACCTGGTCAACACTTGTGCAGAGCTGTTTGATGCGATCCTTGATTTGACTGCTATTCAGGGCGATGTTCACAAACGATCCCGTGGTCGGTGTCTCAGCAGAGAAGTCAGCCTGGGACAACCGTTATGGAAATGAGGTACGTATCATCGCTTCCACAGCGGCGCAGGAAGTTAAGCCGTCGTTGAGATGAAGGGACGGTGTGATGGAAGCACCTGCCGTGGCTTGACAGGTGGCACCGGCCAAGCCGACAGCCAATAGCTGCAGCGACGCGAAACATGTTTGGGCTGGCAAACAGAGTGATTTCAACGCGCTGCGACCTGCCCAGGCAAGTGCACAGCGCGGGCAGAAGCACCTCAGTGTGTCTGCCCACTGTCTGCCCGTTGGCAGTCTGGCTAATAGTGCACCTGCAGCACTCATCTGCCACTGACAATCGCCCAGCTTCGGCACGGACCACGCTGAGTCTCGTGACCTGTCACCTTCTTTCCCCCAAAATTGCCCGAGGATACCCCGCTGTCCGTGCTAGCCCCCAAGCAGACTAGCGTCAAATTTTGGGGAAAGGAGCGTGGGCCGGGGACTTGCTGTCCCCCTGAATTGGGCGTGCAGGAGCCAGCAGCGTTGGCCGTCAATTGGCTGAGATCGCCTTGGGACCTCCTGCCGCAACATTTTGTGTGAAATTGCATTTTCCAACACCCGTCGGTCAAGACCCTCCCGTCCCCTTTAGTGCTGCACCTGTGCACCTGCACCTCCCGTCCTAAGTTCTGACCCCCCAGGCCAGTGTCCATTGTCCATTCCACTACAACGACACTTGGGATCCAGCAGTCCTTTCGTTTCGTTCCGTCCACACGACACGACACGACTGACGTTCGCTGTCCCCTTCCAATTGCCAACATCACCATCCTTTCTTTCTCGCCGTCGTTGACCTGGTCGACGACTCCTTCATCCGACCGCGTGCGAGTCTAGCCGTTACACTTCAACCACCGCCGTATGTTTGCCCACATCCCCTGAATCCAGTTGCACCCTTTGCGTCTGGCCCCCATCAACAATTCCTCCCCCAACCTCGACTGCGAGAAGCCACCACCGCCTCAGTCCATCTGCCACCCCTAGGATTATCCAGCAGCTGACAACCAACACCGCTACAGAAGATGATGCGCAGAAAGAAGAACGTGAAGAAGGGAATCCAGTTCTGTTTGATGGTCTGCGGAGCATCAGGCACTGGTACGTTCGAATCCCCCCTACGCGGCCACCCCGTGTCCACTCGATCTCCGAGTCCCGTCGACTGACCCCGATACCCTTACAGGAAGAA